TGAACATTGTGATTTCTTATAAATATATCTTGTGTTGTAATTATGTAAATAAACGATGTAAATAAAAACAATCGTCATTAATTACCAGTGCCAGTGACAGGGAGGACCCCCGTCACAAAATTATAAAGGCGCACAATGTAAATATCACCCCGTTTTTCTTGTCGTATTTTGTTTTACAATTCCGAAATGCATAACAGGTAATATCTTAAAAAGCCTTCGTGTGAAGATGTCGTAATTAATATTTTTTTAAAGAAACGATTCATCACTTTATTTTAACAAAGAAAAAAGTATACAGAGGATGGAGGGAGCCTTTGACTACAAAACCCTGGCCCTGCGGGTAGGGGTTCGGCACCAAGTTAATCACCTTGTCCTGTAAAATACTCATGATTACAGAAACTACTAAAGACGCTAACTATGCTTGTCCTTCAAGACCTGGGACTAATGTTAGCATAATTGAAAATGCAACTGAAGACCGCCATGCAAAACAGAGAATGACGTTTAACAAACCGATACCCCTGTTTTCGCCCAAAGCAGTCACAAAAGTTGCCCAGTGGAATGTATACGTACGTACCATGTACAAGAATTAAGAGACGATGCGCGCATAAAGCTATGTAAATGAGAAACTACGGCATCGACGTCCCAGGCATAAGCGAAGCAAGATGGAATCCAAGTGGAAAGATAACACTGAGTACAGGAGAAGAAGTCCTTTACTCTGGCAATGAGAATAAAAATGATCATCATACAAAAGGAGTGGCGATAATGCTATCTATGAAAACAAATAAACAGTCTCATGGAATTGGAACCTGTCAATGAAAGAATAATGTAGGTGCGATTTAAAGCTAAATGCCAAAACTTTACCATCATTCAGTGCTATGCACCAACCAATGAGGCTGAAGAAGAGTTGAATGATAACTTCTATGAAAACCTATAGCAAACCTGGAACAATACCCCAAAGAAAGATATTAGAATAGTGATGGGTGACATGAATGCTAAGATCGGCCAGAGTAACAAAAGCAGAGAAAAAAGTAATGGGAAAGCACAGCATTGGAGAGAGGAATGAAAATAGAGACAGACTAATAGAATTTTGTGAAACAAACGAATTAGTGATAGGAGAAAGCCTTTTCCCTCACAAAAACATCCACAAAACGACCCCGGAATCACCCGATGGCAAAACAAAGAACCAAATCCACCACATTATGATAAGTCAAAGATGGAGAAGCTCGTTGCATGATGTAAGAGCTATGAGAGGAGCAGATGTTAACTCCGACCACCACATGATACTAGCCAAAGTAAAAATCAAACTGGCAAAGAACGCAAAAATTGAGACAAAGAGAATAAAATACAATGTAGACAAGCTGAAAAACCTGATTGATAAGGACATATTCCAATTAGAACTAAGGAATAGATTCAGTGCACTATACAGTGAGGATCAAGAACTAGATATTGAGGGTGAATGGACTGCTGGAAGGGCTATCATCAAGAATACACGTGAAGAAGTCTTAGGAAGGAAAATCAACAAGAAGAAAGAATGGATGTCTGATACCACATAAAAGAAAGTTGAAGAAAGGCGTAATTAATTATGAAAGAAAAAGTTAAGAAAGTTAAAACAAGAGCACAAAAGAGTAATGCCCATCCCAAGCACCAAACTTAAGATAAGGAACTTAAAAAAATCATGCAGGAATGACAAAAGAGAGTATGTTAACCAACTTGCAACAGAAGCAGAAAGAGCTGCCTACATGGGAAACTCTCTCTACGACATCACCAAAACATTCAGTAGAGGTAAAACATGCAAGTCTAAACAAAGACAAAGATGGTAAAGTCCTCACCAAACTAAATGAACAAATGGAAAGGTGGAATTAACACTTCATTGATGTCTTGAATAGGCCAGAACCAGACCAACCGGTAACCTTACAACCAGGGGAAGACCTTAACATAAAGGTTGACAATATAAAGATACAGGAAATCAAGAAAGCCTTAAAATCATTGAAGAATGGGAAAGCGGCTAGAGTAAATGGTATACCACCAGAGGCGTTGAAATATGGAGGATAGGAGATAAGTGACTATCTGTTTAAACTATTAAATAAAATCTGGGAAGCTGAGAGTAAACCAACAGAATGGAAAAAAGGGCTACTTGTTAAACTGCCAAAAAAGGAAGACCTAAGCTGCTGTGAAAACTGGAGAGGCTTTACCCTGCTGCCAGTAGCCAGCAAAATCCTCTGTAGAGTAATACTGAACATGATGAAAGATGCGGTGGATAAAGACTTACGGGATAAAAATGCAGACTTTAAATCCAACAGAAGCTGTACGGACCAAATTGCAGCTCGAAGAATTATCGTTGAGCAATCTGTTGAATGGCAATCATCTCTGTATATAAATTTTATCGACTTTGAAAAGGCAATTTACAGTGTAAACAGAGATGTAATGTGGCAACTGCTGAGACACTATGGACTACCATCTAAGAAAGTGAATATTATTAAGACCCTATATGAAGAATTCTCAGTGCAAGTGATACATGATGAAACATCCCTCACTGACTCATTTGAAGTCGAAACTGGAGTGAAACAAAGCTGCTTACTCTTATCCACTCTGTTCCTAATAGTGATAGACTGGATCACAAAGCAGGCATTCGAAAGACCAAGGGGAATACAAGGGACAATGTTCAGAAGATTGGGAGACCTGGATTTTGGCGATGACATTGCCCTACTGTCCCGCCAAATAAAAGATATCAGAGAAAAGACCAACAAGCTAAATGAAACTGGAAAGAAGATAGGGCTAAAAATTAACAGCAAGAAAATAAAAGTAATGAAAGTCAAGACTAGAAAAGGTGGACCAATCACAATTGAGGGGGAAGAACTGGAAGAGGTGGAACAATTTACTTACTTAGAGTCCATCATCAGTAATACACGTGGCTCAAAAGAAGACATGAAAGCCAGAAAAAGCAAAACCCGACAAGCATTCGCAATGCTCAAACCTTTCTGGAGTTCCAGTACACTAAGTGAAAGCTCAAAGATCAGAATATTGAATACCAATGTTAAATCAGTGCTTTTCTACGGATGTGAAACCTGGAGACAAACAGCAGGACTACAACAAACAAGAGGCCCACGGGCCTTATAGGTCACCTGAGTATCACGTAACAACTTTCCAGCGATTGTATTTGGTTCGTGTTTAAATCCAAAAGCCATGAAATTCACAAATTTTGAAAGAGGCACCATTGCTTATCAAAGGGCAGATTTCAAAGCATTAATTTATTTTTAGTCAAAGTACCCCCATGGTACCCCTGACCCAGCGGCCCTGAATTTATCTATTTTCAAAGAGGCCCCTCTCTTCATTATAAGGCCAGCATTTTTTTTTATGTTTAGGTTTAGTTATGAACGTCATGAGATTAAAAAAGTCCCGAAGGAGAAGGAAATAAAAATTTTTTTTTGATAAATCAATTGTACATTTTTTTTTATGCTATTCTAATAGGCTCCTTACCACTGGACACATAATGCTTACAAATAGGAAAGTAGAACATTTAATTGTTTATTTCATCATCTGCCAGTTTGGGCCAGTTATATAAATTTTGTGATGTTGGTCAAAATATATTTTAAAAAATCAATTCTTTAAAAGTCTTTCAATATATCTTCATTTTTTTAATATGTGTTAGGTGAATGTGTAGACATTGTTCTAAAATTTACTTGATGCCTAAAATTATAAGTCCTATCATAAAACAGACAGGGAGTATTGGGGAGTAGGGTGAATATTTTTTCAATTAATTTTAAAATAATTTCTCTGGCTGATACAAATGATACTACATGCCTGTATATATTTGTAAATTCTTGCCTTTTAATAGTTGAATTTTTTTTTCTTCAGGTTATTGTTCATTTCTTCCTCAAATGGACTTAACTTCTCCCATAGTTTTATTCATTACATCTGATGCATAAGCAACCTTTATCTGAAGAATGATGCTTAGACTGTAAGCTATAACAGAGACCTAAACAATGTCGCTGGCAATATGCAATAGCTACCACGGGCAGTTTAAAACCTGGGGGAGGAAAAAAATTTACAGACAGATACTTTTGAAACGAATACATAATTATCTCACCAGCATGTCATTGTGCAACAAAGTCGTCAGCATTTTATTTGTCCTTTGAACGGGTGAAACGTTTTGAATGGCACTCGAATCGATGAATTTTACACTAAACCAAGCTACTCAGATCTAGCTTTATTTCATCTTAAAACCGGAAGTGCGAGTTCGTAAATTTGAAATCTCGATCCCGAATCATATTTGACATCGTAAAGAAAATATTGTTTTATTTTTTTCTGAAAATTCAAAACCTTGAGCGGAGGCTTTGTACAACTGAAAATAAAATAAATCCTGGCCTTAAATATGTAATTAGATCATTAGCATATTAATCAGGTTCAAAGAATTCATGCAATTCACTATATAATCATTAGAGCCCCACCCTAAAACAAGAACCCCTGACCCTGGGGCCATAAAATTCATAATTTTGGTAGAGGCACTCTTGCTCATCATAACTATGTACTTAGTTAATTTATTTAATACCCAGGAGCAGAGAAGAAGATTTTCAAAGAAATAATGTATTTTCACTATATAATCAATAGAGCCCCGCCCTAACACCAGAACCCCTGACCCTGGGGCCATAAAATTCACAATTTTGGTAGAGGCACTCTTGCTCGTCATAACTATGTACTTTGTTGGTTTATTTAATACCCAGGAGCAGAGAAGAAGATTTTCAAAGAAATAATGCATTTTCACTACCTACTTATTTAGCCCCTCCCTAGCACTAGAACCCCTGACCCCAGGACCATGAATTTCACAATTTTGGTAGAGGACTCATTGCTGATTACAATCATGCAAACAGTTTGATTGCTTGATGTCCAGGAGTAAAGAAGAAGATTTTTAAAGATTGCATTAATTTTAGTGGTTTTGGCCCCACCCCTCAGGCCCCAGGGGGGAAGGGATCATGAAATTCACAATTTTTGTTCCCCTTCACCCATAGATGCTTTGTGCCAAATTTGGTTGAAATTGGTTCAGTGGTTTTCAGAGAAGAAGCTGAAAATGTTCAAATGTTAAGGCACGACGAACGACGCACGACGGACGACGACGGACGACGACGGACGAAAACAGATAGCAATAGGTCACCTGAGTTTACTCAGGTGACCTAAAAATCCAAGTATTTACCAACAAATGCCTACGACACATCTGATATGGCCATTTAAAATATCGAGCTACTGGAGCGTACCAGCCAAGAACCAACATCCCTCCAGATTCAGAAACGAGCATGGCAGTGGATTGGTCAAACATGGAGAAAGCCCCAAAACAGCATCACTAGATAGGCACTGGATTGGAATCCACAAGGTTAGAGAAAACAAAGGCGCCCATTACATAGATGGAGGAGAACAAGACTGAAAGAGCTTGAAAGCATTGGAAAGACCTAGAATGAGGCAAAAAGAACATCCCAAAACAGAGTAAGGTGGAGAGCGACAGTAGTAGCCCTATGCTCCACAAGGAACAAAGAAGACTAGGTAAGTAAGTCTTTATTTTTTTGAATATTTTTTAGTCTATCTGACCATTATTATCCGTGAAAATACATGATTTATTTTCACATTTAACATTCAAATCATTGTTCAATTTGAAATCCATTATATTTTAATAATAAATAATCATTATTCGAAAAAGTACACATTTTCCTACAATATCAATAGAGCCCTTTCCGACACCAGAACATTTGACGCAGTGATCAAGAATAACAGAACTATTTGAATCTTTCCAGCTGCAGACGCGTAGAAGGAGAAAGGAAGATTATTTTTTTTTAAATGATTCCATTTTAAGTGGATTAGTAACTAGATATCCCCTTACACCAGAACCTTTGATCAGATCGCCATAATTCAATGTTTTGAAAGCGACATTCTTACTTATAACAATGCATTAAATTTTATCTGATAATTACCTAAGAGCACCTACTGCGACACTAGATCTCGGTTTATAAGTCTCATTCGAAGGACCGGTCTCCACGCCCCACAGTGGGATTTGAACCCGTGACGTAAGGATCATCTCCTTACTTCGAAACTCTAGAGCAGACGCTCTAACCACTGCGCACGCGAGCGACTAAATACTCAGTAGAAGAGAAGGAGAGTCTTGACATCGCAATAACTAACGTATGGCCCATAATTGTCACAAAAAAACCTATGCTCAATTAAAAACTTGATCATTTATATTCTATATTGAAATGACAGTTTAAAAAGATTAAAAAAGTCATTTTAAAAGAGTCATTATTATTTTCTTAATTTATGTTCATGTTTTTACCTGTGCAATGACATGTTGAAGAATGTCCATCAATCTTGCAGTAAGGGTGTTTATGAGAAGGACAGATGTGTCCACTACAATCAGTATTTGTATGACAAGCCGATGTTGATAGCGGGGTTAACGTTGTTGACAGGACTGTTGTAGTTGTTGTTGCTGCTGTCATATAGAATTAATGATTGATTTTAGAATGTGGACAGATATTTAAATATGCAAGAATAAAAAGGATGGAAAACGTGAAAAATATGATAAAGAAGAACAAATAAAAAATTAACATAATTGCTTCAACTTTATACCCTATATATAAACAAATCTTTTTAAAAGAACATTCATTCTAAGGGGAAAAGGGTAAGCCATGAAAACAATGTTTATTAGGCAACTTACCAGTAGATGAACCTAAATAATTGAAAGAGTACAATTACCTAATGTGCAATAATTATAAAAAGCATATTGATTGGATTAAATTGTGCAACATATTTATAAAAAAGTGGATTGCAAATGCCTAGACTTGTGTTCCTCTGTACTGATTGCAAATGAGAACGTTTGTCCCTTTGTCCCTTCGTTCGCAAGAATGGCAATAATTTCCTCCACATACACTTGTTATAATACTAGTAAATATTAAGTTTATCACTGACTCGTTCTACAATAGAATGAGTTAAATTTCAAAATCGCCATTTCTTTATGAAGATTTTGTAAATTTGAAGATGATCAAAATTATTTGGTATATTCCTTAGATATATCTTAATATAAAAGAAAGATGTTCAATAATGATTACTGTATACAGGGTTATTTTCGCCCTGTTTTATTTTCGCCCTTTCACACTTGAAAGCAATTTTGTCTTGTTTTAAATTCGCCCAGTTACAATTCTGTTTAAGAAAGCATGCTGTGTATTTTTAATTCGCCCCGTTTTAAATTCGCCCACCTGTGGGTAGGGCGAAAATAAAACGGGGGCATAGTTTTAAAATGATATTCCCCTAAAATGCACAATCTAAACATCAAAGTTTATATATAATTTTTATATCTCATATTTATACAACATTATGAACCCCCGAGGGACGGGTCATATAGGTGGGGCCACAAATGGTATCAACGTAATACATAGGAAAATATAGAGAAAAGCTTTTAAAAAAAACTCTTTAATACAACTCCTCAACCTTAAATTTAATCTGTTATTATTCTTCATTCCTCCATTCCCTATTTTTGTGTCAGAGCGACTATTAAGGACAACTTAACCTGATATATGTCTGTTTGTATGTGTGTTTTTCATACCCTATTCTTAACATCTTGAAAACTGTAAAAGATATGGATTCAATATTTTGCACATTTATTATTACTAAGTATTTCAGCATTTGTAAAATACCACGTTTACTCACCTCATGACTTTTCATCTTGACCTTTAACTAACTTTTCAAGATAGTTCATTCTGTCGATAATAAGTATTGTTTTGAAAGTTCAGGGGTGCATTCATGATATTAAGCATTGTACAGGTTGACATAAACATAATGTTATGGGTCAGAATTACCCGAAATGCCAGCAAAGATCAATAACACAATTTAAACTTAACAATAATTTATTTACAGTAATATATAATAAATATATCAAACATAAAGTACAAACTTAGCAAGAATCTAAAAATACATACATCAGAGTGTCCGTTGCTGCACACAATGTCCCAGTGAAATTATATCCCAGTAATACCTCAATGATGCTTATACGACAATCGTCTCTATGCATTGAATTGACAGAGTATTTATACAGTATTATAAATCTAGAATATTCTAGAAGTTGTAAGTACATGATATTACTGGAAAGTTCTGGACATACACAAAGTTCAAGAATGTTCTAGAAAAAATGACCGAACATGTTGACCACTCTGGAATGTTCAAGAAACTTAATGTTACTAATAATATACACGATGAAACAATACAAATACAACACACCTCACAACACCTCCCCCCTTAAAAAGTTTGAATGTCAATGAAAACTTATATTGTCAAAATGAAATATATGTACATTAATACAAAATCATATATGTTCACGATACTCTGGACAAGGCATCTGCAATAACATTGTCTTTGCCTTTGATATGCTTAATTGTTATGTTGTATTCTTGTAACAACAAACTCCATCTAGTCAGTCTTTGATTCTTGTTTGACAATTTATGCAAAAATGTCAGGGGGTTGTGATCCGTATATACAAGAATTGGATGCAAAGTAACATTCAGATAAACATCAAAATGCTGTAAGGCTAACAACAAAGCAAGGCATTCCTTTTCAATGGTGGAATACTTTTGTTGACATTTTGTAAGTTTCTTTGAAAAATAAGAAACAACTCTATCTACCTTATCACTATGTTCTTGAAACAAAGCTGCCCCGATTCCAACATCACTAGCATCAACAGTAAGTTTGAACTGCTTAGAAAAATCTGGAGTTGACAGAACTGGATTGCTCATAAGGACAGATTTGATTTTATGAAATGATTTTTCACAGTCCTTTGTCCATTCAAAGTTAACCCTCTTTTGTAAAAGATTTGTAAGTGGACTAACTACTGAGGAAAAATTTGGACAAAATTTTCTGTAAAACCCAGCCATGCCCAAAAACCTCATTAATTCTTTCTTGTTTGTAGGAATCGGGAACTTTGCAATAGCTTCCACTTTAGCCATTATGGGTGTAACATAACCTTGACCTACTTTATGACCTAAATACTCTACATATGCATGACAAAATTCGCTCTTCTCAAGATTCACAGTTAAGTTTGCTTTAGCTAAAATGTCAAATAAAGCACGCATGATTCGGAGATGTTCGTCCCATGTGTCGCTGTATATGACGACATCATCAATGTAGGCCTCGCATCCCTCGAGGTCTTGAAGGAGGGAGTGAATCATCCTTTGGAATGTAGCCGGTGCGTTTTTCATGCCAAAAGGCATTACTTTATACTGATAAAGTCCATCTGGTGTAGCAAAAGCAGATATTTCTTTTGCTCTTTCTGTTAACGGTACTTGCCAGTAGCCTTTCAACAGGTCAAATTTACTGACAAATTTGGCGTTTCCAATGCGGTCAATACAGTCATCGATTCTAGGTATTGGGAATGAATCAGTTTTGGTAACAGAATTCACCTTTCTATAGTCTGTACATAATCGGTACGAACCGTCCTGTTTTGGTACAAGAATACATGGTGAGCTCCAATCACTTTTACTAGGTTCAACAATGTCATTGTCCAACATGTACTGCACTTCCCTTCTTAGGTACTGCAATTTTATTGGATTCAGACGGTACGGATGTTGTTTGATAGGCAGAACGTCACTCACTATGACATCATGACAAGCTGCATTAGTTTTCTTTGGAACATCCGAAAAGATTTGATGATACTCATTCATCAAGTTTTTAACTTGTTCTTTTTGGTGAATGTTCAAATGTCCAAGTTTGGCATCCAAATTAGCCAAAACTTCTGAGTTTTTCAAACGAACACTCTGATTACAATCTTTCTCATTCATCTCTACACTCGTATCACTTTCAATACAATTTTGAACAGCCTTAGCATTGGCTAAAGTGGAAACTGGTTTTACAGAATTTCGGTCACACCTTTCAAAATACTCTTTTAACATGTTAATGTGACAAACCCGTTTCTCTTTACGTCGACCTGGTGTCTTAACTACATAGTTTACATCACTGATCTTGCTTTCAATTTCATAAGGACCATAAAATCTGGCCTGTAAAGGATGACCAGGAATAGGTAAAAATACAAGAACCTTATCACCTGGCTTAAACACCCTATTTCTGGCATCTCTGTCATACCACATTTTCATTTTCATCTGAGAATTCTTCAAATTTTCTTGTGCTAATTTACAAGCATTGTAAAGTTTTTCTTTGAAATCAGACACATAATCTAAAAGATTAAGATCACTAGTCTCAGTCAGCCACTTTTCCTTCAACAATTTCAAAGGACCTCTAACTGTATGTCCGAACACCAATTCAAAAGGACTGAACCCAAGAGACTCCTGGACTGCTTCTCGTGCAGCAAATAGCACAAGATGAACCCCTTCGTCCCAATCTTTTTCATATTGGTAACAATAGGTCTTCAGCATTGTTTTTAGGGTTTGATGAAAA